TCTTTCCTGTTCTGGCTATAAGCAATTTATTTCATCTGGTGTTTACTCACCTTTCATTTATTTTTAGATGCTCTGCGTTTGTCTTTTAAATTTCAGCTTTGAGGTATAATTGACATTTAAAATTGTAGGATATTTAAAAGTGGACGCATCATGGTGATTTCATATACTAGACACTGAAAGGGTTCCCCTGGTTAGTTAATTGACATATCCATCACCTCAGATATTTATCTTTTCTGTTTTGGTGAGAACACTGAAGTTCTACTCTTGGCAAATTTCGATTATACAATATGGTATTCTCAACTGTTGTCACTATGTTTTACATTTGCTCCTCAGACTCCTTTATCTTTTTTTTTTTTTTTAAGATTTTATTTATTTATTTGACAGAGACAGTGAGAGCAGGAACACAAGCGGGGGGGGAGAGGGAGAGAGAGAAGCAGGCTTCCCGCTGAGCAGGGAGCCCGATGCGGGGCTCGATCCCAGGACCCTGGGATCATGACCTGAGCCGAAGGCAGCCACCTAACGACTGAGCCACCCAGGTGCCCAGACTCCTTCATCTTATAGCTGAAAGTTTGCACCGTTTTACCAATCTCTCCCTATTTCCCCAATTCCCCAACCCCTGGCAACCACTTTTCTACTCTGTTTCTAGGAGTTAGATTTTTTTTTTCTTTTCTTAGGCTTCCACATATAAGGGATAACATGCAGTATTTGTTTTTGTCTGGTTTATTTCACTTAGCATCATGACCTCCGGGTCCATCTACATTGTCCCAAATGGCAGGATGTCTTTCTTTCTTTTGGCTGAATAATATTCCAATTGTGTATATATATATATATACACACCACATCCTCTTTATCCATTCATCTGACAGGTTGTTTCCGTATCTTGGCTATTGTGAATAATGTTGCAATGAACATGGGGGTGCAGATAATCTCTTTGAAATCCTGTTTTCATTTCCTTTGGAAATATACCCAGAAGTAGGACTGTTGGATCATATGGTAGCTCTATTTTTTAATTTTTTGAGAAACCTCTATATCATTTTCCATAGCGGGTGCACCAATTTACATTCCCTTGCATACCTTTTATTTTTATTTTTTTTAAAGATTTTGTTTTTAAGCAATCTCTACACCTACCATGGGACTCAAACTCACAACCCTGAGATCAAGAGTTTCATGCTCCACCAACTGAGCTAGCCAGGTGCCCCAACCTTTGCATGCCTTTTAATTCAATCCTTGGGCATTTAAGAGAGTGTCCCCTCCTTTTCTCCTACCACTCTCTCTGCTCAGTAAACTCCCATCCCGCTCCCTCCCTTTCCTTTCAGAAGACAACCTCCCATTCTCCCAACAGACGGGAGCTACCATGATTCTGACACCCACACTCTGTTCAATGAGTGGATGTTTACTAAGCACCTTCCACGCACCAGGCACCACCTGGGCACTTAGGAGGCACTTACTGAGCCAGACTGACAGGTCAGCCTTGCTGCCGCCGCCCCCCAGCCTACATCCTGGCATACACTTACTGGTAGCTACACAGGTACTCTTACCTTTAGTCTCAAATTGGTCTGGACCAAGGGGTGGCCCCTTTATTCAAGAATCCTTCCTCACTTAATCTTGTCCTCTCCTTTTCTTTCTGACCTTCCAGTTCTTCCTCTACTGGCTCCTTCTCCACAGGCTATCCCAAAGTTCATCTTCCTCCTTGAACAGCATCAGTAGGGGGAACATTCTCTTTCCTTGGCTTCTAAAACTACCCTCCCTGGGGCGCCTGGGTGGCTCAGTCAGTTAATTGTCTGACTTTGGCTCAGGTCATGATCTCAGGGTCCTGGGATTGAGCCCTGCGTGGAGCCCTGCCTTAGTGGGGAGTCTGCTTGTCCCTCTCCCTCTGCCCCTCCCCCCCCACTTGTGCTGTCTCTCAAATAAATAAATAAAATCTTAAAAAATAAATAAAAAATAAGACTCCCCTCTCTGGCTCTGCTTCTGCCTCTGGGCCTTCTTCCACTTCCAGATGTCTCCTACCAGGCCTGGGCTGCCTCCTGTCCTCATTCTGGCTGCTATTCTGGGCAGGTTCCTCATACAGCCTGTGCCTGTGGTCATGTGACCATCTCTGCAGGACCAATTGCCTGAAGCAATGGGTATTCCTCATGCACTGAATATGTCCCACACTGAGCTCCTTAGCTCCCCCCCAGACCTGCAGCCCTGCTTGTGTCACTCCACTCACACACACACTCAACAGATAATGGAAGTAAATTATCCTTTCTCCCTCTCTATCCAAGTCACCAAGTCTGTCAATAGTAACAATGGCTAAAAATTGAAGGCTGGGGTGCCTGGGTGGTTCAGTCGGTTGAGCGTCTGACTCTTGATTTTGGCTCAGGTCATAATCTCAGGGTCATGGGATCGAGGCCCACGTTGGGCTCCCTGCTCAGCAGGGAGTCAGTCTCCTTGAGGATTCTCTCTCTCCCTCTGCCCCTCCCCCCATTTGCCTGCGTGCTCTCTCTAAAAAATAAATAAATCTTTAAAAAAATTAATTGAGGGCTTGGGGCTTATTATTTGCCCTAAAAAAATACACGCAGCATCTCACTTAATACCCATAATGACCCAAGAGGCTGGTACTATTATGATCCCCATTTTATAGATGAAGAACCTGGGATGACAGAGTAGGGTCCTAGCTCCTCTACTTACTAGCTATGTGACCCTGGACAAATTGATTTACCTCACTATGCCCTAGTTCTGTAAAACAGAGGTAACTTTCTTGTAAATGAATCAATATGTAAAAAACTGCAATACTGCTTGGAACTTAGTAAAGCGTTATGTAAATATTAAGCATTACTATTTTTCTATCCCAGACTGACTCCAAAGCAAGGGGCTTGAACACTAAACAATACTGGATCTTCCCACTACTTCTTTTTCCTAAATCAATCATTCATTCATTCATTCAACAAATAATTTTCACCTCTACTTGTGTCCGCCAATGCTTTAGGTGCCAGGAATATAGCAGAGAACAAAATCTATGTTCTCATGGCTGGGGAGGGAGCAAACAGACAATAAACAGTCAAGAAAAATGCCAGGTTGTAATTATGTACCTGCAGATGACTCAATTAGGGTGATGTGATAGGGAGTCCCTGGGTGGCACTTTTCATTAGGAGGTCAGGGAAAACCTCTTAGGAGGTGACATAAACAGATCTGAACAAGGAACCAGCCACACCAATATTTCTAGAATATTTTCACTTGATCATGCCTACCGCTCATCTCTCCAGCCTCTTCCTATGAGTGCCCTAATCTTGCTCTCTGCCACACTGCTTGAAAACACCAGGGTCTTCGGGCACCTAGGTGGCTCAGTCGGTTAAGCATTTGCCTTCAGCTCAGATCATGATCCAGGGGTCTTGGGATCGAGTCCCTCATCGGATTCCCTACTTAGCAGGGAGCCTGCTTCTCCCTCTCGCCTTGCTCCTCCCCCACCCATTCATGCTGTCAAATAAAATCTTTAAAAACAAAAACAACTCCCCCCCCAAAAAACACCAGGGTCTTATTCCACCATCCCTTGGCCCATGCCATTCTTTCTGTCCCCCATAACCCAGGAAGTGTACCCTGGTCCCCATCTCAGAGTTCAGAAAATGAACTTCCTGGGGGATCTGCACAGGTCAGAAAGCAGGGTGCTGACCGCAGAACTGGCCCCAGCCTCCTCCCTGATCAGAGCCCCCAGGAGTAGCTGTGGATTTCCTACATACTCAGTCCCAGGAGTACGCTAGTTAAGAATTGCAAAATAACTTGATTGCTCACAAGAATCCCCATGGGCCCTTGTTAAAATACAAAATCCTGGTCCCCAACCCAAACCTCTTTAATTAGAATATCCAGAGGTGACTCTGAACAGCAGTTCAATTGCGGAAATATCGTCATGGCTGAAGGTATCAGGCATGGTTTTGTAGAAACATCTTAGGTACCAGATGCCCAGGGTATGTCCTAGGCAGGCTCTATACTGCAGGAAGTGCTCTGGGTTGTTTGGCACCAATGAAGTTTGCCCACAGTGACCCATCAAAATAATCGGCAAGATCACAATGCAAAGAACCTTCTGTGCCTCCGCCATTGAGGGAACTTTTCCTTTGGCTTTTGATCGACTCCTGGGCCATTTGGTGATACTGAATGCGCAGTCACATTTTAATGTATGCTTTAGTCCCAAATTAACAAAAAGGGAACTTGTGAGTGGTCAAAGGGTTGGTTGGCTCTGTGCTTGGTCAGGTTCCTCTCCCCACCCCAGTTATGACACCTGGTGACCACCACAAAGTTATCTCTCTGGGCCTGTTCCTCATTGGGAGAAATACCTAGTGCGTGAGCTTACTTGACATTAAATGTGTTATCTGTACACTGCTCACAACATACGCGACTGTATTAAAAAAAAAAAAAGCTCTCAGGAGGCAGCTTCGGACACGTGGCCCGGGAGAGAACCACCTGCAGGCGGGGATTTTCTGGCCCTGGTCCGTTGGCGGGCGGGGCTGAGATGGGCCCCCAAGGAGGGCGCTGTGAACCTTGTGGTCCCTGAATTTCCGGAGGTCTCGGGCTCATCAGCGGGGAAACGGTGGGCGAACTGCTTTCTCCACGGCCGCCGGGCGGCTCAGCGTGGAGAGCAGGCCGGAGCCGCGTAGCATCTCCAAGGCCTCCCGAGTCGACAGGACCTCGACATATTCGGGAACCCAAGACCACCCCGATCCAACCGCCCGGGGCTCGGGAACGAGCGGCGCCAAAAACGTCCGTCCCACAGCGCAGGCGCCCGGAAAGCGGGCCGCGGAGGGGCACTTCAGGAACCGCGCTCTCACTACCCAATCAGCGCCGGCCTTGCACAAAGCGAGTCCCGCCCCCAGGGCGCCGCCACCGAATCCCCTCCCCCTCCCCTGCCCGCCTCGGCCCGCCCACTCCCGCCTGCGCCCCGCCCCGCGCCGTTCTTGGGTAGAGGCTCGCGATTGGTCCAGGGGATGGGCGCAACCTCTGATTGGTCGAGACGGAGTCACGAGGGCGCCGTCGTCGCCTTTCCAGAGGCGATTACTGGGCAGGCTCAGTCTTTCGCCTCAGTCTCGAGCTCTAGCTAGCAGCCAAGTGTACGCGCTCCGGGATCTTCTGTACCAGCGGCCGCCATCGACGTCGCTTGGGTTCCTCTGGGCTCGTCTGCGCCACTCGCTCGCCACACACTCTGCCGGCATAAGCCGCCATCATGGTGAAGCTCGCAAAGGTAAGAAGACGGCTTGCGCAAGCATGGACGTCGAGGCCTGCTTTCTGAGGAGCGCGCGCGCGGCGCCGCGAGGAGGAGGGCCTGCGCGCCGTCCCGGGCGCGTTCGAGGGCGCCATGCTGCGGGAAGTCTCGCGCGATTAGTGGGGAGGTCTCGCGGCTTTTGGCTATTTGGTGGTGAGGTGAAGAGCTTCGGGAGGTTCCGCGGGCGGTTGATGGGGCGCGGAAAGACTTCGAGACTGATTGGGGAGGGGGCGCTGGGCCCCGGGGTGGAGGGATGACACCAAACTCCTGCGACGGGCCCAAGGGGGGCCCCGCCTCCTGACGCACGTGCCCCAGCGCGCGGGCCGCCACGTGGGCCGCGCCGCGTGTGTCCCGGCGTCTGTGGAGGGGACCTGGCGGTGAGGCGGGGAGCGGCGGGATTGCTTTAGATAGAGGCCCTGCGGCCCACGGGATGTCGGCTCTGGCCAGACGGGCGGACACGAGGTGGGCTCCAGGAGGAGGCCCAGCCTCATACTTTCTGTGCCGTGCTGCGCGCACATGGGGACCTGCGGGGTATCCCCACGTGGCCCCGCCGGGTCTGGAAGAGGCGGGGTTGTTACCACGGGAAAGAACTTTATGGGAAGACCAAAGGTAGTGAGGTTAAGGTCTGATTTAAAAAAAAAAAAAAAAAAGTTAAAGATCTTCCCCCGAATTTGGATTCAGGCGACAGTGTAGGATGTGGTGCCAGAATTTACCAAAGGCTTCTTTTCAGATGTAGTTCCCCGCCCTCGGTGAAGGGCTACGGATTGTTGGCCGTTAAAATTGGCCAGTTGTAGTCTATTAAATTCACGTCTGAGGTAATGGTTGATTTTGCAAATACAGTTTTAAAAACGGATGTGCTTAAGGAAGGCAGGAGGAGGGGGGAGATGATTTTCTTTGTAGCTGCCTTTCATTCTTGGGTCGTTTTTGTAAAACCTGACAGGAATAATGGGGTGGGGGTTGACAGTTTCTGTTTTAACGTTGACCTCAATAACAGTTTTCATTTTTATTTTAATATCTGGCGGCAGGAAAGGCGGATTTTAAGAAAGGGAGATGACTGCTTTTTACTCTAAAGAATGATGGCAAAGTATGAATGGTCTGAGATGTTGTAGGTGTAATGTGCTAAATGTCTATTTTAGGCTGGTAAAAATCAAAGTGACCCCAAGAAAATGGCTCCTCCCCCAAAAGAGGTAGAAGAAGACAGTGAAGATGAGGAAATGTCAGAAGATGAAGATGATGATAGCAGTGGAGAAGAGGTAATTATATATGACTTAATGGAGACGTGTGTTCAACTATGAAATGGAGAGTTAAAACAGGTGGTGTTAGATGTCTGAAAATACTGACAAAAATAAGATTATATTCATTCATCCATGGCCTGCTGAGATAATTGTTTCCCAAGCCCTTCATTGACATGTTGACATAGGTAAGTATTTGAATTTGAGAGAAAAGATTGGGAGTCTCCTTTCCATGAGCACTGTTTAGGGCTTGGTGTTACATGTTTTGTTAAGTAGTGACATTTTTCTAGTTTGAGTATGTTAACCTAACATACTAGTTGAATAAACAGCCTGGACTGTTAACTGTTAAGTGGCATTGCTGTGCATTGTATTCAGGTTTGAGGTTAGCTTTACCAGAATAATAATAGTAGTTATTATTGTTATTTCAATTATTTTCCCAGCTTCCAAGCGGGATTTAGTCTCTATTCCATTGCATATGAGCTTTGTGATACTGGTTACTGTACCTCTTGGTGTGGGTTGAGGGTTGCTACCTCTCTCTGTGTTAACCTGTTACCATTCCTGGCTACTGTTTGCTCATTGTAAAGACAACTACTGTATTTGTGCTCAGATTTCTTGTGTAGAATTTAATCAAAGTTTTACTGATAATACATTACCCAATAAAACCAGCAGTGAACAAAAAGTGTAACTTAGATGTAGGTGAATAATGGTTTTTATCAAGCTTAAGATCTCACCTGTATTAATTTTGCAAGGGCTAACTGCCCAGTGTATTTGATACTCATTTTATTTTTTGGTTTTAATAATGAGCCTTCAATGAACTTTATACCAGCACCCACTGTAGGACTTCTAAATGATTTAGTAGCACTTAATAAGTAGAACTTTTTATGTGCAAGACTTCTAATTACATATGTCAACTCATAATTTCTAACAATATGGGAGGTTGGTGCTATTATCTTTCACAGAGGAGAAAGAAGTTGAGGCTTAGAATTTTTTTTAAAGTGTTGCCTAAGGCTGTCACATAGTGGCAGGTGGGGTCCACACAGTCTGTTGTCAGAGTCCATGTTAGGCTGTGCTGCTTTAAAGGTGGGGTTATGATGGAGGTATTTGAACTGTTAAGAGGGGTTCCTTATGCTTGAGTATTTGAAGATGAAGGTTCTCATTTCAGGCACATGGAAGGACCCGTGTCATGGCCCTATAGTTTAACATGCTAAAATACATATAATGCATGTGGTCTGGAGCCAGAACCAGTTCCAGAATTTAGTACTCACTCATGAGACCAAGGTTGTCTTTTTGGGTTTGGAAACAGACTTATGTTTGGTTTTATTTATTCTTCAGGTTATCATTCCTCAGAAAAAAGGCAAGAAGGCTACCACAACTCCAGCAAAGAAGGTGATGGTTTCCCCAACAAAAAAAGTCACAGTT